TGCCTCACGGAAACGAAAGGGAAAAGGTCCCATGGAATAGCTGGCAGCTCTCCAGTCCATGATTGGAAAACGCATTAGGCGACGGAGAGAATGTATTTGACGGTACTCTGTATACCTACCGAACTAGCAAGAACAAAGAGATAGTTCATCTCACTCCAAGACTACCAGAGTTTCTGCTGGGCTCAGATTTCCAAAACAAACTCATCAAATGGCGTGTGATTTCATGAGTTCTCTCTAAAGACTCACACGTGGCTGCTCATGATCTTAAAGAAGTTCAGAAGTCTGTAGCTCTGATCCAAAACCAATCAGAAAGAATTCAGGCATCATCAGGCACTTTTTGTTGTGAAGACTGTTCAAAATTTTAAAGATTTCTAATTTTGGCCAAATTCAGAGGCAACATTGCATGCGTCCTTCAGATAAAAGGCAATAAAAAGCAACATTTTTTTTGTTAATTTTATTTTTTTCATTTTTTTCGGTGCACTTGTAAATAAACGTCAAATTCTAAATCTTAGCTATTCAAAAAAATGCATTTCTAAAATATGATTATTTATATAAATATAAATGTAATAGTTAATAACAAACTATGCCACAACATTTTTGGAGTTTGAAATATTACCTATTTCATTTATGTATCAATATGCATCATTTTAAGTTTATTAGTTTATTTATGTTAAAACTGTGTAATCCAAATGGATGGAATTTTTATACGCATTTTAAATACTTATGAGCCTAAATATTTTTTTTCCAGAATCTTTCCATTAAGATAGCCAATTAAATTAGTAAAAATAGCGCAAATACTATTACACCAAAACGGGTGACCATTAAGAGAGTTTCTGCCTATATAAAGAGATCATCTGCCTATGCAGGCAAGGAACAGAGCTTGTGTTTTTAGTGCCCTGTACATAACACAAAAGCTATGACGTCATATTTGACAAAATAATTGTTCATCGAACATCAAGTAGAAATACTCAGTGATAGCTGCTCTATTCTTAGCATGCTCTAAAGGTTGACCCGTCTAAAGGTCTGGTTGCCCCGGGTGACTGCTGATGTCATATCTATGTCCAGCAGACTGTGGCTTTACACAAATGTCATCTCACTAAGATATATGTTTATTGCTCACTGAGTGTGGCTGCTGTCGAATGCCTGACCTGCTGTAAAAGCAATGGAAGTCACAAAGTTATTGTGGTAGTTCTGACGCAGTTCACCCTAAACAACCTTTCGATTGACCTGTTTGAGGTTTGTGCTCAAAACGTTTAATTCAGAGGTAAAAACTCTGTTCTGAGAACTACTGTGCTTCTCGCTGCCTTTTTTTCATGAGGGTTGTCGTGAGTCCCTATAGTCGATGCTTCACTTGACAACAGGGGCGTAGTTTGCACAGTACAACACACCCAATATAAACCACAGTTATTGGAAACTTATAGTGGTAATACATGCACCTTATCAAGAGTCTGGTGTCAATATGAAATCCAAATTGACCCTATTGGTGCATATAATAATCAACTCCGCCTCTAATATACACTATATTACCAAAAGTTTTGGGATGTCTGGCCCATTCTTAATCCGTAGGGTTTAATATTGAGTTGGCCCACCCTTTGCATATACAACAGCTTCAACTCTTCTGGGAAGGCTCTCCACAAGGTTTAGAAGTGTTTGTTTTTCTCCGCTCTAATTCATCCCAAATATATTCTATCGGGTTGAGATCAGGACTAGTCAAGTTCCTCCACACCAATCTCGCTCATCCATGTCTTTATTGATCTTGCTTTGTGCATTGGTAGACAGTCATTTTGGAACAGAAAGAGGCCATCCCCAAACTGTTCCCACAAAGCTGAGAGCATGAAATTGTCCAAAATGTGGTTGAACTAGCTAGCTGAAGCATTAGGAGTTCCTTTCATTGGAACCAAGTGGCCAAGCCCAACCCCTGGAAAACAACCCCACACCATAATCCCCCCTCCACCAAACTTAAAGGGTTAGTTCACCCAAAAATGAAAATTCTGTCAGTATTTACTCACTCTCATGTTGTTCCAACCCCGTAAGACCTTCGTTCATCTTCGCAACACAAATTAAGATATTTAAGATATTAAGATCGCTCCTGCATACAGTCCATAGGCTTCTTGAGGGACTGGCTCTTGCTGTCCTCGAAAAGTCATTAAAGATATCGTTAAAATAGTCCAAGTGACTACAGGGGCTCAATCTTAAGTTTATCAAACGACGAGAACACTTTTGTGCGCAAAAAAACAACAAAAATAACGACTTTATTTCAACTATTCGTTTATTTCTCCCTCTGCGCGAGTCAGGTTACTAGTTTAATAGCGTAAGCTTCTGTTATTGTACGTCACACGCATCACACACACATGACCAGCGTCGGCCAATAGTGAGCCTACGTGTGACGTAGCTCTACGCAATCACACTACGTTAACTGACTTACAGGCTCATGGAGAAGGAAGTGAATAGTTGAAATAAAGTCGTTATTTTTGTTGTTTTTTTGCGCACAAAAGTGTTCTCGTCGTTTGATAAACTTAAGATTGAGCCCCTGTAATCACTTGGACTATTTTAACGATTTTCATTTTTGGGTGAACTAACCCTTTAACACTTGGCACAATGCAGTCCTGCCAAACCCAGACTCGTCCATCGGATTGTCAGACAGAGAAGTGTAATTCGTCACTCCAGAGAACACTTCTCCACTGCTCTAGAGTCCAGTGGCGGTGGCTTTACACCACTGCATCCGACACTTTGCATTACACTTGGCGATGCAAGGCTTGGATGAAGCTGCTCGGCCATGGAAACCCATTCCTTGATGCTCTCTACGCACTGTTCTTGAGCTAATCTGAAGGCTGCACAAAGTTTGGAGGTCTGTAGCTGTTGACTCAGCAGAAAGGTGGCCACTTTGGCGCAGCATATGCTGATCCCACACTCTGATTTTACGTGGCCTAGCACTTCATGGCCGAGTTGTTGTTGTTCCCAATTGCTTCCACTTTGTTATAATACCACTAAAAGTTGACCGTGTAATATTTAGTAGTGAGGAAATTTCACGAATGGACTTATTGCACAGGTGGAAACCTATCACGGTAGCACACTTGAATTCACTGAGCTCTTGAGAGCAACAGTGAGCAACAGTATTCTTTCACAAATGTTTGTAGAAGCACCTGCATGCCTAGGTGCTTGATTTTATACAACTGTGGCCATGGTTGTTAATTCATTGATTTGGAGGGGTGTCCCAATACTTTTGGCCATATAGTGTATATTTAAATGTGGGGGGTTTATGGTAGCCCTCCATATGGTCATGGGGCCAATCGACTCTTCTACGAGACTTTTGCTTAATAAAAAAGGTTCCCTTCATCTCAGTGGAATTCACGAGTTCACAAGTACATGAAATCAAATATCACATATATTAAAAATCAAATATATTAAAATTTTGCCCGAACCCAGAGTACTCCCCCCTATACTGGGGTAGACCCAGCCCAGAGTGAGGTGATGGGGTGGTGGAGGGATGCTGAGAGACTTGTCGTGAGACAGGAGGTGAGAGAAGCTTTATTTATACCGGCTTCCTTTGAGTTGATTGGTTGATTATCTGAACATGCTCCTCCCGAACTTTGTTTACATAAAACTTCATTAAGACTTTGTGACTTTTCATACATTATCAATCTATACACACACAGAAAAACTGGGGGTCCCACTTTATATTAAGTGGCTTTAAGTACTATGTACTTTAATTGAAACAAATAATTTGATACAATGGACTTATTTATTGTGTACATACATGTTTTTACATTGTACTTAAATTTTTAAAATACCAGAATGTAATTACAGCTGTAACTAATTTATGTAATTACATCTGTAATTACACAGCTGACCCATCCCTTACACTTAAACCTACCCTTAAACTGACCCATACCACCACACCAGTCCCTAACCCAAACCACACCTCAATAGCAGCAAAAAGTGTTTTACAATACAACATGAGCACAAGTACATTGTACTCATTTTTCAATGTAAGTACATAGTACTTAAAGCCACTTTAATATAAAGTGGGACCAAACTGGGCTTGATTGTAAAAAAAAAAAAATGTATGTAAAAAAAAAAAAATGTTTACACTTCTGGTCTTCGGGGTCAATGTGACCCCACATTGAAATTAATGGGAAATGTGGGGAAAAAAATGTAATATATTTTCTTCATGTGCCAAAAAAAAAAAAAAAAAATCTAGCATAAATCTGAAACTTTTTACACAGAAATGAAGACCTAGTACTAGAGCGTAAAATATGATATATTATTTGTATGATTAAAAATGTGTATTTCTTGTATAATTACTCCAATCAATTGTTGGGGTCGTATAGACCACGAAGCCCAGTGTAAACAGGAAACGAAGACCATTTGAAGGTTAAATTGCTTTCTCACAACTCATAACTCTTTTGTTTTGAAATTTTATTAGATGCACATGTTGCAGGAAACACGTGGGGGAAAAAAATTAATGATATAATACAGTATCTAGTTTCTAGGCAGTTTTGGTTGATTTGGCACAATCTATGGGTGCATGCAAATTGCAAATCCATTATAAAGCACATTTGCCTAACAGAGAAAGCTCTCTTGGTGTAGATTTATGATAGACCCTTATATTTTATATGCTGGGAACTTGGTCCAAAAGCAGAGAGGTGTTCAGATTTTCTGACATTTTTGTCATGTTAGATTTACATATTAAACAAAGGTGGGTAAACTGACAACTTAAATGGATGAGCACAATGAAATGACTGTGTTGCTTGAGAAAATGTACAATATACTGTACAGTTAGATGTGACAAAATGACATTCTGCAATTGGTGCAATTTTTTTTATTGAAGAAAAACATTTCAAATCTTCAAAGAATTGAACACAAACATTTTACACAAAATAAGCAGTTAAAAAAAATGACATTTAGCAGCTTGAACGAAGAATTCAAAGCAGAATGACAATTCACTGATACAAATAGAAAAACAAGCATATGGCGTGTTTGTCCTAAAAATAAATGGGTTTTTTTCATAAGACATTTGACCACTAAGCGTTTGGCATCATCCGAAGAATGGCAAGAAAGGAACCCCAAACTTCACAAAGCGAGTCAAACATCCCGCTGCCAGCACAATCCACAGGATACTGTCAAAATGTTAAGACAAACTGGAGGGCGAGTGAGAACCACAAACTGGAGATGCAAACGTGTAAAAAACTAAAAGAGATGAGATGTGTGAACCTGCACAGGTGCACCATACGGCCCTCTCGATCAGCACAGACCCCGTCGGTTAAAAACAAATGTTAATTCATATTCTACTGACTGACATCAATCACTTTAACGACCATATCTTAAAAGCTTTACAAATGCATCCATTGATGTTTTTAAATGGGTCATATCATGTCATGTATTTTGCTTCATCTGTTGAGGTAAAATATCTTGATGTATTTATTTATTCATTTATTTATTTATTTAACCAGGAAAAGATTAATCAGGCCTGACTCAGTATAAAACTGATTTTTAGCAGGTTCCTGTTCTGCAGAACATGAATAACTCAAACACATGTACTATATGAACTGCATAATCATAAAAACATAAATAATTTTAAAATAAAGCACTTTAAGGATCTATTAAATTACCTGCACGTCATTGACAAGAAACCAACATCAGAGAACCGTGAACAATGCAAATGTGTTGTTGAAATATTACCTTAAAATCTTAGAGAATGCTTCAGGTCAAAGGGATTCAGCGGACAAATACTTTTAGGAATCAAAACTTCCTTCCCAGTCCAAAAACAACATTTATTGAAACTAAACATCCACAACTTTCCGACAACAGACAGATGAATACATTATTTACACATCAATGATGTCTACTGTGTTAGCCAATACTCGCAAAGAATGTGCCATTAAAAAAAGCCAAAAATAACCAAAACCTTGACGGGTTTCTATTAGGGTCCTAATCCTCTAAAGGTTGGAAAACGGTGATGAAAAATCAAAACGGGACTAGTTTGGAAAGGAAAAAGTGAAATTGTAGTGGAAAAGTATGATATGACCCCTTTAAAATCTCTTTCATAAATTGTTTTTAAGTTATTTCTCGTTTAATCTTGATAATGCCAAATAGTGCAACATTCGATTGATGTGAGCACTTGAAACTCAACTGCAAAGTTTGCATTCCATTGAAGATGGATTCAACGATCTGTGCTAAACACTTGTCTGTTCAGCCAAATTGCTCATAGTAATGAAATAAGCTCTATTGATTAGAAGACATTTGTCGAGGGAGATAAACCCCTTCACCAGCTGCACCCATCTCTCCAGCCCTCCCTCCCTCTCTCTCTCGTCTGTGTCCTCGCTGCTCTCTCGCTTTCCTCTCAAGTCTCTTTGTCAAGTCTAAACATATATGCCACCGCTCCGCCTACTTCCTTCCGCAGCGCTATTAATCAAGCGCAGGTTAACACTCTGTTAACAGGGGGGTGAATGCGGGGTCACGTTCAGAAGGGAGGCCGGTTTAGTCCCAGCGCTTCAGCAAGAGCTGTCGAATTCCCTGCTTGGATGTTACAGCAAATACTGTCCCACCATCAAAGCTGCCTCTGCAAACACCTTTCTCCTAGATAGGTTAGGAAACGAACTTCGCTCTTGGCGCGAAACAAGTCTTTCCTTTGTTTTCTACCGTCCCTCAACGCTCACCTTTTTGCATCTACCTAGTCCTAGAGCATCGCGTTTCTGGATGCTGGTCAGAAACAATAAATTAAGAGATCAATCACGAGGAACACTGCGCAGAAAAACGACACTCGCATTGGTTGTACATTCACAGTCCCTTTGTCGTGTGTTTCGAGATTGCGAGGTTGCTTTGCTCACCTCAGCGTACTGCATTGACATTAGGCACTTTGAATGCATTCACGTGTACAAATATAGACAGGATAGTCTGGGTATAAAAATACAATCTTTAAATCTTTGGTTTGTACAAAGTGGAATCTACTTCTTTGCGATACGTCGGTCGCCGTTTGGACTGAAGGGTGCACCGACACCTCGCGGTTCCCTCCTGATGCTGAGATTAAATGTTTTCAGGAACGCATGTTAGCCTCACAAATTAAGCAGAAGTTGCCCTCCAAACTGGTGTTAGCAATGGCCATCTTATTTCAGAAAACAGCGCATGAATCAAAAAACCCACCGGAGCTGTTTTACACTGAGCCCGGTTCATGTCCCCTTCAAGTGAGGCAATTGCGAAACAACTTCATCTCCTTTACGACAACGCAATCTCTCAGTTGCACGGTAGCCACGTGGAGTAGGTTTGCTGATGGCAGGCAAAGACCGGCTGCACTTGGGCGATGTAATAATTGCTAAAGTTACCGTCCGCTACATAAGGGGCAGGTTGGTAATAGCAAGTGACATTGGCCACGTTGGGTATGACGTTCTGCTCGGCCAGCACGCGCACCGCCAGCATGGCGATCAGGCCCAAGGCCTGCCGCCGCTCGTGCCCCATCAGACACACCGTGCTCTCGTTCACCACCCCGTGCAGAGTCGTCAGGTAATCGTACTTGCGGTCCTCCAAGCCCACAAAGTGGTTCTGGAGGTAAGACTCCAGCTTGCGCTGCTGTTCGCTGATGTCCGAGAAGTCGATGAAGAAGCGGGAGCACATGTAGCGCTGGAGAGACTTCATCTCCGACTCGGAGGCGGCGCGAAAACCCCTCACCAGAAGATGGCAGTACTTCAGCAGGCCTCCTCCTCGGATCTCCTCGGGGTTCCTCGTGCAGATCACCTTGTTGCGCAAGTGGTCCAACGCGGCGCCGAAGTCTCCGTACACGCTCTCGCCGATGATGGTGGGGTGAAACGTTTTGGCCATGGGGTTCTCGGAGCACTCGTAGAAGAGAAGCAGAGAGTCCAGCTTGATCTGGAAAGAGTCGACGCTGAACTCGAACTGCCGGCGCAAAGAGTCCACGAACTTGAGCTCTACGTTTTTGCCCCGGTTGTTGGAGAGAGAGATGAGACTCCAGCGGTCCGAATCGTTGCACACTTTCACCATCTTCTGCACATACGCCTCCTGCACAAAATGAGGTCATTGTTTTATTGTTATTGCATCAAATACATTCAAATGCACGTCCGTTCGCCGTATCGGTTCTCCATCCTTTCCTGTCGCAGGAGATCTAAGAGGCTGAGAATGCTCGATTGGCTTTAACCTGCTTTAGAGCAATCCTCTTACCGACAGAAAACCAACATTTCACCTACAGCCTATCAGTAAACTACTCTAATTGCATTTCTACTGAATGTCACTGGAGACTATAGGGATCCATGCAGATGATCTTAAATTATACACTGAATAAATAAAATCACAAACAAAACACGTGAAGCAAAGTCAAGCTTCTTTATTGGCACCATGGTTGCACCAAAAAATCCACTGTTCTTCTTTAGATTATTATAAACTTCTTCACACTAAAATACAAACAAATGGTTCTTTTGAAGAAATGATCGAAAATGGTTGTTCTATCACTGCGAAAAACTATTTTTAAGAGTGCAAATATAACGGAATGAATATGATTCTTTATATTTTTAGTGTTTTAAAGATTACTTATTTGTTATACTACTCAAACAACAAAATTCCAGACACACACACACACTCAAAACATTATGCATGCAGGGATTATGAGCTCATTAATGTAGGCTACTTTTAAAAAAATGCTTAACTGACAACTAAATTAGATTATAGCTTCACCTAAAACATAAACGTTTCCTTCTCTCTCGTGAATCTGAACACTCACCTTCAGGGTCAACGGTGTGATTTTCTCTTTGTTGACCCCATCAGGTAAAAAGTCCAACAGACAGTCCAGCACTATGTTCTTGACGATCTGAAACTCCGTCTCTCCCTTCAGGTCCACGCAGAAAATGAGGTCGAGGTCCTTGTAGCCGAGCCCGCTGTCCCCGAACAGGACGTGGCTGGCGGCGGACCCGTTGAGTCGCGTGTCCCGCACATGGATGCCCTGCTCCCGCATGCGCCCCCGCACCGCAGTCACGATCTCGCGCGGCTTCATCTGCAGCGTGGGGAAGTTTCCTCGGCCGTGGATCGGGATGCTCTCCGTCAGGATGAGGTCCAGGCGCTGGACCTGCTCCCAGCTTAACACGCTAAAGTTCGAGCTGTCCGTGTTTGCGTCTGGAGCCCTGTCCTCTTCAGCCATCGTCGGGTCTGTGTGAGGAGGACTCGGGGGAGTGTGTTCGAGCGATCTGGAGGTGTTATCAGGAGAGTTGAGGTGCATCACAGAGGAGACGCATAATGCGCTCGAGACTCGACTGAGGTCTGTCCTTGTGATGTGAAGAGCGTCATGCGTCCACAAAGCGTTTGAGAGTGTGTGTAGTATGACAGCAGTGCTGAGGCTTTCTGTGCGCCTCAGGTCACGCCTATCACACACACACACCACTGTCACAGCAGCAACCCAATGAGACGCGTCTCTCCACAGCTGTGCGCTCAAACGCACATTTAGACAGTTAGCGCAAGGGTTTTCAAGACTGAGGTCCGGGGACCGCCGGGGGATCGCGTGGGAGTGCTGGGGACTATACGTTTAGAGAAAATCGATAAATAAAATAGACAACATTCAAATAATTAATCTTACAGAATAGTGTTATAATAGAAACGAAATATTTTTAGACCCATATTTTTTCCTCAATATAAATTGGGTCTTTGGATAGAAATATAGATGCCTTTTAAATTTTAGGATGGGATCCCTTGCACGAGGATGGTCATATTTATTTGTGGTTCATTCTAAAGACTGAAAGCCCCTGATTTAACACACAGACACACACTATAGCCTACACTCTAAAAAATGCTGGGTTGTTTTAACCCAACTTTGGGTCAAATATGGACTAACCCAGCCGTTGGGTTAAATTTTTACATTACATTTTTAACCCAACATTTCGGGTTTGTCCATATTTGACCCAAAATTGGGTTAAAACAACCCAGCATTTTTTAGAGTGTAATAAATAAGTAATCTCATAATTTCACAATTACTTCCATTATCTTAGAAAGGATTAAAGGATGAAATTTAGTAATATATCTTAAATGATACTTTTTAAAAACTATTTAAAACTTGTTCACCCAAAATGTTTAATTCTGTCATCATTTACTCGCCCTCAAGTTGTTCCAAACCTGTATGAATTTTTCTTCTCCTGAACACACACACAAATATATATATATATATTTTGAAGAATGTTAAAACAGTTGATGGTCCCCATTGACTTCCATAGTGCACATCACACAATTAAGGGGACAGACAGACAGCTTGTTTGAAAGTGCAATAAGACCAGTAATGCAGCTGAAAAGGCAATAAAGCCGTTCATCAATAACACATCTGCACCTGAGAAAATTAAGTTCTTCTGGAAGAAAGTCCCAACAAATGGCAAAGCAAATGAAGGGTCAGACTCAGGACGTTTGGTGTCTTTTATTGCCCTCTAGGGACGTGATTGAAAAGCGTCTTGAACAATAAATTACTCTTTAGCATTCATAAGCGTTGGGCTCTATGAACACCAGCGGGTGTCATGTCCAGGAATGATGACCTGAAGCTGAACCTGAGGTCTGAGTCTCCAGCTCATGTCAGAGTGGGGCAGCTGTCAGTCAGGATTCCTCCGCGGACACAAAGCCCTGCGTCACTGCACTCACCCAGCCCTTTAAATCGCTCTGATCCCATTTAGGTTAACACAGGCTAAACCCTGCGAGCATTACCAGTACACTACTGTACAATCACAACCTATTCCAGACCACTCACCCACATTCATATCTGTGCTCATCTATCTCTCTATCTCTCTATCTATCTATCTATCTATCTATCTATCTATCTATCTATCTATCTATCTATCTATCTATCTATCTATCTTAATTGGGTCTTTGGATAGAAATATAGTTGCCTTTTAAATTTTAGGATGGGATCCCTTGCACGAGGATGGTCATATTTATTTGTGGTTCATTCTAAAGACTGAAAGCCCCTGATTTAACACACAGACACACACTAGCCTAATAAATAAGTAATCTCATAATTTCACAATTACTTCCATCTTAGAAAGGATTAAAGGATGCGATTTAGTAATACATCTTAAATGATACTTTTTAAAAACTATTTAAAACTTGTTCACCCAAAATGTTTAATTCTGTCATCATTTACTATCTATCTATATCTGTCTGTCTTTCTGTATCCATCCATCCAAATTCTGTGTGAACTGTTTTCTTTCCATACTAAAGAAAAGATGGAAATCCCATTTTACTGAGTATTTCTAGTAAAAAGTGGCTACATAATAGCATATTCGTCTAAAATAATTCTGTATTTTCAGTTTAAGAATCATTAATATCTTTATTCGGATGCCATCATTTTCCTGTGCATTGGGTTTCCACCATCAAGTCCAAGCCTATTCATTTACACCCCGAATGCCAAATTTATACCAATGATATTACAGTAATACCAAATACCAGCATTTTAATCAACAGTAAATTTTTTGTTAACCCTCTATACAGTATGTCTTGGAGTATCACAATAAAACCATATCGTGAGTTCAGTATCGTGACATGTATCGAATCGTGACATGAGGGTATCGTTACACCCCTAAAAAGTAGGCCATATCACAGAATTGCAATGATACACGTCCAAAAACCCTCACACGGTCCCAACCGCTTGCCCACAAGCGCTGCAGTTTTCAGTAAGTGACTCAGTCCTGACCGGGCCAGAAGTCTGATCAGTCCAGACAAGAATTGTGTCTCTGCAGCAGTAAACACTTCATTTACTGGGACAAGCCACATCTCTGAGTCACTCCGCTGACCTAATAAACAACAACAACAAAAAGAGAACGCAGCTGACAACTTCACAAATCAAACTAAGTGACCAAAGGTGTTTTCTGTTAAACTCATTATCTGAAATGATCACTACAAGCTGTCAGACATCCACTGCTGTTGACATGGCAAGAGATTGCTTACACTCTCAGAAAAGAAAAAAAAAGACTAAATCTGTACCCATAAAGATTTAAAGAAACCTGATCTCAGTCATCATCAACGGGTAAATCAAACAAACATGAGTTTCAGTGCATTATGTTTACAATCAAGTTAAATGGAGCTTAATTTTTCTTCAGAAACCCACACTAGTATTACAGAAACCCAGTGAGTAGCCTACTGAAAAAACATACTCAAGTAAAAGTACCATTACATTCCAAAAAATGTAGTGTGAGTAGAGTAAAAAGTAGGTACTTGTCCAAAAAACTACTTGAGTAAGAGTAAAAAAGTAGCTTAGTTAAAAGTACTCAAGAGTAGTGAGTAGTGAGTACTGCGTATTCTACCCCTTAAAATAAACACTGTGCACTACAATTTATACATTTAAAAAAAATTGCACATACTGTAATTCACATTCTATTTTTTTCTTTGTAAGAGAGATTGAAGAATATCCATCATCAATCTTTTTAAAATGCATCAAATCAGTACACTCATCACCATTTAAATCATATTATTTGGAGGGGAAAAGCATTTAAAATTAGGTGAAAAACCACTGGGCCTGAGCATGCTATTGTTGCACATAAAATATCAATATTCATAACTGTGCAAAGAATTCAAAAACCTTTAGAAACTCATATGATAGGCTAGTTCAGCATCACACACCAAGAGATGGGTTAAATAGAGAGATTAAAAAAATACCCAATTTCTCTCCAAAACGGTACCAATGTTAGTGTTTTGATAAATGAGAATCACTAATATTATCATATTACCTCAACTAATGCACTGAAAAAGGCTAAGATAGTGAGCTAACACTAATTACACTTTAATTCCATGCTATTAAATATGTTACAATTTAAACGTAAATGCACATTGTTCTAGAAGGGTGGCATCATCCCTTACATTTTACACGGCTACATTTACTCACATTGTAATGCTGATAATATAATTTGTAAGGAAAATTGTGCATTAAATAGGGAAGTTATATCCAGGAAACTTTTACAAAAGAAACAAACAAATACACTTTGTCTCTGAAGTCTCGGCGAAGCTGTTTTGCATCAGCAGCATCCACACACACAAAAAAAAGTTCAACATTAACAATGTTTTTGCGGAAGTCTTGCGGAAGCTGCACTTGCCAAATGAAGACGGGTCGTATAATGGATCAATCAAAAAACGTTGTTTATTAACGATTTGTGCTAATTTCTTATTAACATATGCAGTTTAACGACATGCACTGATTCTGAATCTGGCGGCATGGCGAGCGAGACGCGACAGTGCACGCGCGTCTCTCTAAAATGTGATTGTGAAGTAAATGGGAGCGGGAATTCACCGCATTATGAACTCGTCTCGCAATTCCCCCAACCTCAGACCAAATAGGCCATGTAGACAAGCCAGTCTATATAAATATCATATTAAGCAGAAATGTGAAATGTACCTATATTAGAGGAAGACGCTGATATCTGGATTAAATTGATGCGTGATGAATGAACTTCCACAGCAGTCACGAGTAACAGCAGGAATAGGCGGTTAAAGTTTTCTATGCTTAATTTGAATTGATGACAGTCACGAGACCGATTACTCGATCCAATCACGTTGATGGATAAAAATAAAATTAAAACAAGTAACGAGTAACGGCCACAAACAGAAGAAAAATAGCGGTGAAAAAGTACCGATACATCACTTAAAATATACTCAAGTAAAAGTAAAATTACACAATTTTAAACTTACTCAAAAAAGTACAATTTTTGAAAAAAAAACTACTTAATTACAGTAACGTGAGTATTTGTAATTCGTTACTTAACACCCCTGCAGAAACCGAATTATAAATAAATAAGCATCATGTCTATGGTATTTGAATATGCTCAAATGTGTTTTTACTGATCACTCAAACCTTTGATGATGTTTCAGTCTCATAAATGCATTGTTCACTATTGTTATTGAAATTAACTAGTTCACACTGTAAAAAATAAAAACGTTATTTTTACGGTTAAACAAACAGCAACTGTGGTGTATACCATTAAAAATACCCTAATGTACATAACTGAAGAAAAAAAAAAGAAAATTATGACGAAACAAAGTTATTTCAACAAAAATACATCAAATGCGAAGTGTGATGCAGGGAATTGTGGGAATGTCAATTTACGGTTTTTCACTGTAAATTATACAAGGAGTTGTTCTTTTTCACTTTCAAAAACTGTAAATTTAACGATATTTTACAGTAAAATTATATCACAGTTATTTACCGTATATAGTACGGAAACTTTCTGTTAACCAATTAACAGTTTTGCTCTGAAGCAATTTTACAGTCTTTTACCGTTAAAATTACGTTTTTACTTAGTTCATTAAAGGAATAGTTCCTGATTATTTACTCACCTCAAGGCCTTCCAAGATGGGTGACTGACTTTCTTCAGCTGAAGAGAAACTAT